CAAAATATGAGTCAGCAAATTGCGAACATGACACATGAAAACAATTACATGAGTCAGCAAAATTATCCAAGTATGAGTCAGCAAAATTTGAATTTGCCAAACTACGTAACAGAGTCAACGATTCAACAAAATAGTACGTTACCCCCTACATTTTTAAACTTAATAAGTCAGCTGAATGGAGCAAAAAGTGATCAAATGCAAAATATTCACAAGCTAGATTCCGCTCTTTCTAACCAACAAACAGACTCAATTACTGGAACTGCCGATCAAACTGAAACGAACGATGCCTATTCGTCTATACAAGCTATGCCCACCGAGTAGAGAACCTGGTACTCTCGTAGTATGTGTAACAGATAATGTTAGGCCATAATTTCATTCCGATTTCCTTTATTTTAGTTCTATTACGAGTTCGGGGACTGTCTGCGTTAGCCAAGTGAATATACCCCCTGCCCATGGGCTTCCGTCTCTTTACACAACTTCATGTAGAATAGGAAAAAAATTAGCTCCATATTGGTACACACACTTATGGAAAGCCAAAAACCCCGCCCTTTCAATCGCACCTGATTCGTTGTCAACATGTCAATCAATCATCTTAATTCAAATGTTAGTAACACAGGTTGAATCTGACGCCCACCACCTCGTTCAAATTGGTTCTCAAACTTTTGATATTATGGAGCCTGTGAAGTAGTTGAATATTATTTACGGAGTTCCACGATGACACATTGTTACCTATATTAATCAATGTCCCGGAGTAGATTAAAATTTTGTATTTAAAAATATTCAATATTTCAACAAGTAAAAGGATAGCTTGTAGAACCTCTAGGTTTCTATTCCAGCTCTGAGGATTCGTTTGAAGCAATTGAGAAAATATGCCTTGCATATCAATAACTATTTTGAACTAACTTTTCAGTTGCTACTTTTTATATTTTACTTCATTTAGTATAATTGATTATTTATTTATTGCACTTTTCACTTTCAATTATTTGTATAACTTGTACTAAGGAATTTGTATGAAATATTTTTTTGTTTTCCAAAGGAATTGGTCTTGATGGACTTTTAGTCTAAAAGCTGTAAACTAGTGTTTAATTTGATGATTTTAAATATATCTTGCTAGCCCTCCAAATCTTTTTTTGTGGGAAGGGGGAAGGACATTTTTTTTTCAATATAACGCTTACGCTTCTTTGCTCAATCGTCATTCTGCAATTGAACCCCCTATCGCCAAAAAACTCAATCAGACCTTGCACAGCATTTTTTTTCAACAAGAAATTTATCACATTCGCTTATGGATCCCGAGAGGAAAAATAATTGCGATATTGTGTCAAAACAGCTGCTACACTGCAAAAGTGTTGATTACCGATGGTTAATCGTGTTGCGCAATCTGTGACGTCAGTCCCGTTTCATTTTAGCCGCACCTCGTACTTATGTCTTTTGCTTCGAACAAGGCCAGTTACTGATATCTAACAATAACTGATATCTAACAATAACTGATATCTAACAATAACTGATATCTAACAATATCTGATATCTAACAATAACTGATATCTAACAGTTACTGATATCTAACAATATCTCTCCACAGACTAACTTCGCTGTCAAAGTTATCCAATCTATTAAACCTCGCAATTTCATCTATATCAGTTGGTTCTTTGGAGGAAGAATTGATAGTAAGGAAAGAAGTTATTGGTGAATTCCCTCACGATAGTCACGAACGGAACAAAATAGTGTTGAAAAAGATAAACAAGCTCACTGCAGACATGTGTTGAAAATTCAGAAGTTCCCCCCTTTGCTTGCATCACATAATGAATGATATACAGGGTGTCCATAAAGTTCCTTCACAATTTCAATTTTGTTATGAAGTCAGTTCTCAATATATCTTACTTGACAAGGTTTGTTGTTTTTTAATCAGTAATTGTTTAAGTATTTTTACGAATATATCGTATCGATAAATTTCCTTGGCAATTTAAATAATTTCAAGACTTTATGGACACCCTATATATTTCTCGAATAATAATTCTATTTAGTAGCATAAGAGTATTACGATAATATTAGTGATTTCAAATATCTGTTCAATTATTGTTCGAATTGAAACGTCATTTTCGTGAGATAAACGAATGAATAGAAAAAAGCATATAAATACTGTCCACTTCAGAATATTATGCCAGGCTGAGAAGAAATTTATGGTCCCCTCAAACAAACCTATTAAGTAACGCAGTAGTGAGGATTAAGAGTAATATAATATTACTAATTTCGAATATCTCTCTTATCATTTTTTGACATCAATTTTGAGAGATAAACAAGTAAAACTGCATATAATACTTGTCCTGTGCTGAGAAGAAATTTTGATCTTTTCAAACAAACTTATCAAGTGATGTTGTAGTGAAGACTCGCCTCGGTTTTTATTTTTAATTGTTTACGAATAATATAATCTTATTATTTGAAGAAAGTGTTGTCAATTAATCTTTAGAGCAAATAGTATGGAAATATATTTCCTCCTTGAACAACAACAGTTTGTTTTCTGTGACCCGAACTCTTACTTGAGTGACTCGATTCATTCAAAATTAATATGATATACAGGGTGTCCATAAATTCCTCCACAATTTCAATTTTGTTATGAAGTCAGTTCTCAATATATACAAGTTGGTTGTTTTTTAATCAGTAATTGTTTAGGTATTTTTACTTCATTTAATTTAGAGGAAAAAACGTGATATCGATAAATTCCCTTTGCAATTTTAAAAATTTTAGGCTTCATGGACACCCTATATATATCAGAAATAAAATTTTATAATAATTCTATTTAGTAGCACAAGGGTATTATGATATTACTGATTCTATATATCTGTTTAATTTTTGTTCAAATGGAAACATCATTTTGGGAGATAAACGAGTAAAACTGCATATTACAATTGTCCTGTGCTGATAAGAAATTTTGGTCTTCAAACCAACCCTTTTAAGTGATGTAGTAGTGAGGACTCGCCTTGGTTTCTATTTTTGATTGTTAACAATAAATATATTCTTATGATTCGGGAGAAATGTTTTCAATTCATTTTTGGAGACGAGTAGTGATATAATATCATATTCATAGTTTTCAAGAGTCTTGAAAGTCTAAAAACCTGTTTCAAGTTACTAGGAATTGTTTTGTATACAGAAAACAGAAAAATGCTTTTTTTTCACATTTTAAATAAGGGGGTTCTGACCCTTGAAACCCTAGTTACGGGGGTAAACTCATTGCATTGAGAGGTTCCAAAAACCGTTTCAAGATGCTACAAATTGTTATGTATGATACAGAAAGTAGGAAAATGCTTTTTTACATTCCACGGCCCTCAAAACCCATGGCTACGCTCTTGGTAATGAGGGGGAACTCATTAAGATAGTCTAAAAATCGTTTCAGGCTACTAAAAATTGTTATGTATGATACAGAAAGTAGGATGCTTTTTTACATCCCACGGCCCTCAAAACCCATGGCTACGCTCCTGGTAATGAGGGGGAACTCATTAAGATAGTCTAAAAATCGTTTCAGGCTACTAAAAATTGTTATGTATGATACAGAAAGATGCTTTTTTTACATTTTAAAAGGACGGGATTCCGTCCCTCAAAACCCTTGGCGACAAGAGTAAAACTCATTTTGGGGGTCTAAAAATTGTTTTAAGCTACTAAAAATGCTCTTTTTTTACAATTTAAAAGAGGGGTTACGACCCTCAAACCCCTGGCGACGAGGGTAAACTCATTTTGGGGGTCTAAAAATTGTTTTAAGCTACTAAAAATGCTCTTTTTTTACAATTTAAAAGAGGGGGTTACGACCCTCAAACCACTGGCGACGAGGAAAAACCCATTGAATAATGTGAGGTAGCTGACCTCAAGTAGTATCAATTTTTTTGCTGAAATAAAACTTATGGTCCTCATTCTATATAACAGTGGTTCTTTTGGTGTTATGAAGCCCGTGAAGAGGTTGACTGCAATTTACAGTGCCCCCAAATTTGACACTTGACAAACATATTAATAAAGTCAAAATGTGGAAACAAGACAGTAATTAAAACATTGCATTATCTATTGGCACTTATAAATGATGTTATATTTGAATTCTTGTTATCATTGTCAAAATTTATTGATGCCGTTATTGTTTATCCAGTGTTCAGAAGATTAGAGTCATTGCCTTGACCAGAACTCTTATGTGAGTGACTTGATCCATTCAAAATTAAATGAGTCGAACTTGCACTCAAGAAACCATCGGTGTCACCCAGTTCAATAATTGACCTCACTCAAGTCTGGATAAAGGAAGGGGGTTTTAAAATTCTCAAAGGAGGGGGGTTTTAAAATTACTTGTTTTCAAGTTAGACTTGTGGGTGTTCAGGAGTTCCAAGGGTCTAATAGACGTATGTTGCATACATTTCAAATCGGGGTTCCGACCCTTTTACATAGAAAACTTCATTAGACGAATTGGACTTTTCAAAAATTCTTCAAGGGTAAGGGTACCACTACCACCTCTGCACTGTCTAATAGCATACCAATTATTTCAAGTGATTGAGCAAATTTAAGACTTATAGGTTGCAGAGTTTATTACTTTCCATGCCATAATATTGAAAAAATATAAAATCGTGAAAAGCGAAAAAAATTCAAAATCAGATAAATGGTAATTCATTGATGACTTTAGTAAAATATGTGAACTCGTTATTATCCGTTTAGATTCAGATATTTCCATAATGTGAGAATCGATGCACGAAAAGATTTAAAAAAATGTATAAATGTATGAGAATAATCATGAAATCACACATAATGTAAAATTTAAATATTCTTCACAGCATATACAAGAATATCAAAAAAATTAATCACACTAAAATAAAACACATGAGGAATTGACAATCACAAGAGGAAATATGGCATCGATTTGTCGATGTGTGAGCCAAGATGGCGGACACCGAAATCTAGTATGTGTAACAGGTTAGGTTGGGACATAATTTTATTCCAATTTTTTCTTATTCTAAGTCGGGGACTAGCCAAGTGACTCCCGTATGATTTGTACCTGAAATTATGGCCTAACCCTAACCTGGTACACATACTACGTTCCGGTGTCTGCCATTTTGGTTCACATACTACAGGAGTACCGATTTGTCTAACAAATTGTGAAAGCATTAGGAATTATAGTGGTTCATAAGGGGTTACTAAATATCGAAAATACACAAAAGTAGAAAAAAACATGGGATAGAACATATTTGAATGAAATTTAATGACAATTTCTGACAATGTTAGGAAAGTGCAATGTTACTTAATTCACCTTAAAGCAGTACACAATGATGATAAAGCACCAACAAAACATGACTCAGATAAAAGCATGACACAGCAGATGAAATACAAATTTTGATGCTCCTGTAGTATGTGCACCAAGATGGCGGACACCGGATTGTAGTATGTGTACTAGGTTAGGGTTAAGCCATAGCTTCATGCCATTTTTCCCTAATTTTAGTTCTATTGCGAGTTCTGGGTATGGCCAAATGACTCTAATAGTATTTGTACCTCTAATTATGGCCTAATCCTAACCTGGTACACATACTCCGTTCCGGTGTCTGCCATCTTGGTTCACATACTTCTGGAGTACCCAAACTATATAAATTGCCACATAGGTCGACTCAGGTCACTTTACATCGAAGACTCACAATGACGAGAGTCATCTAAATCAGGGTTTCCAAAACTTTTCGGGCCACGGACCCCTATTTGTGGATCTTACTTTTGATGGACCCCCATCCTATGACATATCAATTTAAAAGCCTAACCAACCAGACGTATATTTTTCATTTACAACACAAAAGACATTATTGTGATGGATGAGGTTGCATTTCACTGCACAAATACCAAGGGCAGAAAATGCTGCCTCCCATTTGTAGGTTGTTACAAAAGACAATAAAATGTTAATTGACTTTTCTTATATCAATTGATATTCGTTCGCAGCGCTTAACCAAAAAAGATGCAATGGCTTTTTGATTGAAATCAATCATTGAAGATCGATCAGGCTCATTTTGTATTTCTGCTGGCCCCCTGTGCACCCATCATGGACCCTCGTGGGTCAGCGGACCCCAGTTTGGGAAACCCTGATACGAATCGGACTCAACTAGCCAGCAACATGTCTTAACTCAGTGATTGGCTCGAATTTGATGACCTGACCCATCAACACGGGTTAGAAATAGTCAGAGAAAGCTCTACTAATAAAGCAATATTTTAATTTAACAGAAACAAACTTATTACTGGTCAATTATTTTTCATTATGATTATTCCATGAAAATTACGAAAGGAAATATTTTCACATGATATTCACATTATTCCAGCAAAAAATAAAAGGGAACACCGCACAGCAGTTATATCGGGGAAGGGGTTGAATGACAATCTTTTCAATTGAGATTAGTTTGATTGAATTGCAAAATGTGACATATTTGATAATAATGAAATTGAATAAAGTTCATTTTATTATTCAGGCTGTGGAGTTGAGTTCAGTTTACTTATTCTCCCTCATCAAGATTTTCCGCTAAAATTTAGGAGTGCAATTTGAAGGTTGCGAAATATTGACATAGGAGTCAAATTTTTCCACTAAATAAACAAATAGAAATAGAAAACTTTTATAGTCAAATTACTTTTGCGCTCTTGTTCTCTTTCCAACCCCAAAGTCGACAATCTGAACTAAATCTGTTGGGGGTAAATTTTACTCAGATACACTGTACAAATGGATAACGCATTTACGGTAAGTCCTGGGCAATCAGGGTCATATGATCTAAAGAAGTGTTTCCCAACCTATAGGTCGCGACCCAAAATTGGTTCGCTTGGAAATTTTCTTGGTTCACTTATTCAACATAAAACAGGAAGATTCATTTTAATTTTTTAGTTAATTGATATTCATATTGAAGTGTTGCTCAAAGTATTTGTATACCTGTGAAGAATGACAGCTTTTTAAACTTAGAATCTGCTGTTTTGCTTTGGTAAAGCTGCGTCATGAATTTAAAATCTCGATTATGGCAAATAAGCGCAGCCGTCTCACTTTGAGTTCATTTTTGAGAAAATAAATTTAAAGTAAAAATGGTTGTTTCATATAAGACTATATAGAGCATAATCATTACATACTGCCCAGTATGAGCGCATCCTTGGGTGCCCCGATTCTACAAAATTTATTTTTCAAAAAATTTGGGTTACTTGAAAAAAAAGAGTTGGGGTCCACTGATATATGGCATTGCAGTTGATAAATATGTCGGGATCACACTTTGCTCATGCTCTGTTCAGAGTCGACAAGAGGTTAAAACATTTACTTGGGTACTTTGTATGAATTGATCACACATTTGAGGTCTGATTAGAACAGGTAATATGATGGATATAATATTGCAATTCGTATCTATAATTGGCTAATTGCTTGGAGTGGAAACAAAGAGTGAAAATATTTTTCTTCTAATGTGTACAAATGTTAATTACTAAAAATCAGTATGTTCTCCAGCTTTCTCATTTTAGGGGGAGGAGGGGGTGTTTCAAAATTTAGAGGGTTGTAGATATTTTGGTATTAGTGCTAAAACTATTTGTAATTTATAAAAATGTGTTATGCATTTAACTGATCGTTTTCACCAGCAAATGACCCACTTTCTGATTTTCCAAATACATTAAAATTAAAGTATGGTGCCAAACCTGAAAACCTGAACAGAATGTACATACTTGCTCGAGCCTTGTTCGGAGTGGAAATAAAGATTTCTTCTGATGTTAATCTGTTGGCAAAGAATATGATGAGATCAAACAAAAACCAGTAAAAGCAGAATGAGATCCAAGCTTGAATGACCCAGCATTAAAATTTATTCGATACATTGTTTGTGGATTCTATCTGTCACTGAACATGACTCTGGTATCAGCGATCGATGCTTTGAATCTCTCCAACTGATAAGGGTTGAAGTAGCAATCCCGCATCGACAATCCTTCAACCTGGCATTGATGAACAATATCACTGATTGTAGATAATCCTTCATCTCCGAGTCTGCTGACTTTGTTCCCACTCAGATACAGGTACCTTATCTGAAAATATTAAATTTAAAATTTTTAAATTATTAAGAACACCGCAAAGTTGATAAAATTTTCCTCAATGATACAAAATTTTTTGATTACTGAGTATTTGTACCAGTAGCAATCTGTCCAAATGCTAATCGACAAGAAATATCATTATCAATACTAATCCAGGTTCAATTTATTTTTAATTTCTACCGCCCTATATTTATGCACATAGAACTAAAGGAAAGTTTTAAATCCAAGTCACCAATCTTTACCTGAAGCTCAATATTTTGAAGAGTTGAGATCAAATAATTTTGATTTCCTGAGAAATCAAGACCGATTTTTGTGAAATCACCCCATTTTCATAAAACCAAAATTTAAAAAGGAATTACATGATTTTATCAAAGAACCTATCAAAGGCTAACAGATAATCCAGATAATATGCTGTAAACAAAAACAAAATATTTGTTGCACAGTGTTATCAGTCGAAGTAGATTTTTAAATTTTTCATTCACTGACCACCAATACTTATGGACATGGGACATTGTTGGAACCAAGTCTTAAATCTTGAGAGAGACGAGCATTGATGTGAGACCTGGTAATGCTGAATATATTATTTTTTTTTTTCATTATCAGACTAAGCATATATATAGTTTTTGATGAAGTGCCCACATAGTGTGTCACACAAGTCACAAATCTGGATTCAAGTCTTAAATGCAATATACTCAGTAAAGTTCCAGTTTTGTAAAGTAAGTTCCTAAGTCTGGAGCGGGTCAAGTCTAGTCTTGAGTCTTGACACAATCAAGTTGAGTTGAGTCACTGACGTTTTGAGTCACAAGTCCTACGAGTCATAGTAGATTTTATAAACAACAAGGAAATAGACTAATATTGGTAAAATTGAGTTTAACCAACGGTTTTCGAAAATCAAATTAAAATTTAGATGTCTATTGATAACTTTCCCATGTTGCTGCAGCAAGCAAGTGAATTTACGATTTTTCAATACAACACCAATCAACATGGTAAATCAGATTGAATTAATTTTTTATATTTCAAAGACTTGCACAAAAATCTCTAACAATCAAAGCTGGCATTGTTATGCAAGCGCTTGTAGTTCATCTTGTGAAATATGTATGCGGCAAAGTTTGCGGCCCCCCAGGCTTTCAGATTTATGCTTGCGGTCCTCGTGGTAATTTGAGTTGTGCAGGCCTGCTGTAGAACAAGCGTGTGCAACTTTTCATGTCGATGGGCCATATAACAAACTTCATGTACTTAGAAGGGCCCCCTTGATGGATTATTATGCCTCAATATATTGTTAGCATGCGTTATGAAAGCCTGCAGCAACGAAATACATTAGCGACTATCAAAGCGATGTGAGGAGGGCAATAGAAGAGAGTGAAGCTATCGCTTAGCCTTGCAGTAATGAATGCACTGGACAAACGACAAAACAGTGTCTAGACCAAAAGCTTTACATATTTTTACCATGTGAGCGTCTTTTACTGTCGGATAAGAATTTTATGCTTGATGGGGAAATTTGAGTGTTGACTAGGACCACACTAAATGGCTTGGTGGGTTGGATTGTGGCCCGTGGGTTGACTGTTGCACACCCCTGCTGTAAAATGTATTTTCTGTCACTAGTTGGCAGCATTAGTAATTCAATGAAAGGGAAATATATTTTATAAATTTTTTACATTAAATTTTGCCTCCGATTATCAAAGATCTGTCATTAGTGGTAGCTAGTTACTTATAGATAAAAAGTTAAATTTAGAAGGTTCTAAATCAGGGATGGGGAACCTTTTTACTTAACAGGTTATACATTATATTTTTATCACAATAAAAGGAGCATAATCTCTCCATTGCACTTTTCCAGTCAATTTCTGTACTCTGGGTTAGTATTGTGTAGTTTTGGGATTTTCACATGCAGCATTCGTGTTAAGACTGAGATGATTTTTCTAACTTCACTGTTAGATTTTTTGGCAACATTTTGTCACTAGGCAGATTACCCATCAATAGGCTTACTAAATATATAAAACAAACCACCGGGACAGTACGGTTTGGGCAAGCCTTACTTTGTTCCGACTCCTAATAATATTCAACTCATTGAAAACGTTAAATGAAATGGTATCCTTTGTCAGTTGTACCTTATGTATTGTATGCAGAGATGTTGTGTTACTTGGGTTGAAGGACTTTTAGATAAACTGAATGTCTGAGAACAGCACAAACTTCAACTATTTTTTATGGTCATTTTAAAATTATAGAAACATTGAACTGTGCAATTAGAGTATGATGCCATAGTATTTTTCTCACAATGTTTAGCCTGCATTTCAGTACACTGAATTCAATGTCTCCAGCAATCACTTGCAAAATATTCGTGCACTGTGCAGTTTAAGCATTTTCGAACAAAATATTAATCTGTTAGTTTGTCAAAACAAAATGTCAAGCACACACAAAAGCCTGCGTCAGGCGTTTCAATGTAATTGGAAAGAGAAGTATTTTCAAATTGAATGAACTAACATTGTGAAAATATGAAGCTATTGTTATGTAGTTATGGACTTCAGAATTAAGAGACAAAGCCAATGTCAAGTTTGGCGTTTGGCAATGTCAGTTTTTACCCTTAGTTTTGTTGAAAAACATTCAAAATCATTTTTTGAAATCTGAAAGTGAAAACTAACAAAAAGAAACCGCTTTGTGTTATAAAGTCATTCTTACTAGGGTCAAATAAGGAAATGCCTTATTTAATAATAAAACAATATCAAAGAAAATTGAAACTATGACCTAATCATTCCTTTGACAATTGTGGTTTGGGCATGAATTAAAGTGGAATCTAATATCGCTAAAACAATGGCTCCCACACTATTCGACCAAATTCTGACAATTTTTGCATATGGCATCTCTGACCTCCAGCTTTCTACCATAGTATGCACATATAAATCTATCCGAACACAACGACATATACAAATTCATTCTCTCTCTTCTTTTGAGCATGAATCAAGAAATACTAATTTCCTCACCAAGCCTCAGCTGGAGTGAAATCAGGCCTAAACTTGTATTTTATGGGAACTGTGAAATTCATTTGTTATCATAGTAGTAACAGCATTTAAAAGACAATTTACTAAACTAATGGCCACCCACATTCTCTTACTCTTTTATATATATATATAGTCTTTATATTTTTGCTCTGAACAAGACTCCAGATTAGCGGATACCCGATTTTTAATTTTAATGCAGTGTTGGGTTTAGTATAGTACTACACTGTAAAGACTGCTATCACTCACTGCTATATTAAAAAAAAACAGTATTTCCTTATCTGGAGCCTTGATGAGAGCCAAAATAGTAAAGACTTTATCAAAAAAGTTTGAAAATTTGGCTACTAGTATAGAAAATGTATTTTTGAACATTGTTATCATTATGATAACTAATGCACTTTATAATTCCCACAACATACAAGCTTAAGCTTAATAAAATGAATATAATTAAATGTTCACACAACCAGAGCTTACAGCCTATCCTAGCTTTCATAAACAACAACGAAACAGTCATATATTCGTCCATTGAGCTAAACGAACAGCTTATGAAAATCAAAATAGAACTTAGTCATTTATCAACAACATTGCCTTGGCATCAATACAGTCTATCTCGAGCAATGGCATGTCTAAAGGAAGGGCCATAGGGGCAACCGCTCTGGGCAGTATGTTATGAGGGTCAGTTTGTTGCTTAGTTTGATGATTTGAATGATAAAAACACAGAATTTCACTCTTTCCTGACCTTCAAATTTATTTATTCTTGTGTATAACAACATCTATAATTTGTTTTCTCCCCAAATTATTTTTAAGAATAGGTATAAGGGACATCGTTATCAAAAACTCGCTGCCACCAGCAGAAAAGTTTTGACACGCCCCTATTCTCGAGTAATTGCTGCAGCAATCAACTAAATTTACATTTTTCAATACAACGTCAATTAACATATTTTTATATATAATATAAGACTGACTAAAAAATCTCTCTGGTGGTAACTTGAGTCAAGATATTTTGTTTCTGCGAGTCGAGTCACAAGTCCTTCAATAACTCTGGTAAATCATATATTATCACAAATATTTATTTTGACTCTTACGATATATATACATTCACCGACTGTGTAGAGTAGTGCCTTGTTCTGAGCAAAAATTGAACGATAAAAAAGTATAAGTTGGAGATAGGGATGATATTTGGTTTGATTTATCTCTTTAATAATGCCTAAACCACCAAATCTAAAAAACTAATTTTCAGTTCAAATTTATGCAGTTTAGTCATTTATGCTTATCACATGAAATCTTCTCTTACCTTTGCATTGCGAGTGTTTTCTTTAAATGCTTTCATTCCTTCTGCTGTCAGATTGCAATTACCAGCCTTGAATGCGTTTACCTGACATTGTGTCACAACTAATCCGAGTTCACCAAAACCATCGGTTCCAAGGTTCTCGTTATAACTGACATTTAGTCCATTCAGCTGAAATAAATAGGAACTGTGAAACATGGTGGAAATACAAACGTAACTATAGAATTCACTGCACTGAGTCTTATCATTGCAACCCATAAAATAAATTGATTCTGTGATATGGCGGGGTATTGAACCACCTAATCTAGGTTGCTGTAGAACAAGGTTGTCCAACTTTTTTTGACGATGGACCATATAACAAACTTCAGACATCCAGCCATCCACCTTGTGGGATTATTACATCACAATGGTTATCACAAAAATTAACAAGCCTGCAGCAACAAAATACATTAGTGACTACCAGAGGGCCATGCGGAGGGCAAGAGAGGAGAATTATTATTGAACATGATGGAAATACAAACGAACTATAGAATCCACTGCACTGAGGGTTCGCATTGCAACTGCATGAAATAAATTAACATTGTGATATGGTAGGCCTGGGTGGTCCAAACCCTGGCCCGCGGGCCACATGTGGCCCGACGCTTTATTATCTGTGGCCCGCGTCGCATTTGCCCGAGGGTGAACAAAAATCCCATTTGACGTTGTTTTTTCATGAAAATGACTAGAAAAAATCTTTTGACATATTGTTTCATCACTAATGTCAATAAATTGACTAGTATCATGGTTAGCTGAGGCAACTAGCAAAAGAATAATGTGCTTTGCTAGTCTAAATTGTTAACTGGCTTTCTATCTTTCTGTTCGGGAATATATGCTAACAGAATATTCTTCATAGTAAACTAAAAATCTAACGGGAATCTGTTAGCCTATAGGTTGGGGTATGCCTGATAACTAAATATGGTACTCCTGAAGTATGCGCACCAAGATGTCGCATAACCTGAACCCTAACCTGGTACACTACCTGAGTTCAGGTTGTGCGCCATCTTGGTGCGCATACTTTAGGAGGTCCCTAAATATTAATGTAATGGCCGAACAATGTAATTCACGTCGGGTGTTTCTTTTTGCAACCAGCTTAAACAGTGTTACAAACAAATGCTGCCAATATGTCAGAAAATTTAGTAATTATCCTTCTGTATCACAAATTTGGTGAAAATCGGTAATCAATTAATCTCAGTCATTTATAAGTTAATTTTTAAACATGAGTTTGAAAAGAAAGTTGAATAACAGATTTTTAACTGAATATGGGAGGGAAAATATCACAATAATTGCTTAATATGTCTGCAAGTTGTGTCGGTGACAATCTAAAACGGTAGTTTTTCCCTATATCACTTTTTCCGAGATGAGGAGTTTGAAATCTTACACTAAATATATTTCCAGTAAGATTTTTGCACGTTATACTTTATTTGGTAGTTTGGCTTTATTTGGTGGTTTTCGCATATGTTAGCTTGATAAATGACAAATAATGATCAATGCGTTTGGACAATAAAGTGTTTGTTTTGTATTGCACTAATTACCTATTCTTGGCACTATTGTGGCCCACGAACAATACAAAAATGATAATGTGGCCTGCGAGGCTGACAACCTTGGACCACCCTGTGGTAGGCCATTGAACCACCTAATCAAGGTTGCTGTAAAGCAAGGGTGTGAAACATTTTTTGTCGGTGGGCCATATAACAAACTTCAGACATCTAGCTGGGCCACCTTGAAGGATTATTACATCACAATATGTTGTTAACAAGCCTGCAGCAACAAAATACATTAGTGACTATGCGGAGGGCAATAGAAGAGAATGAAGCTATCGCTTAGCCTTACAGTAATGAATGCACGGGGCAAAAGATTTACTAAAAAGAAAGAGCAAGATTTTAAGAAAGATTTAATGCAGAGACGAGGCCAAAAAGCATTATGTATTTTTACTGATGTGAGAGCCCTTTTAAATATAAACTGTCGGATTAGAATTTTCATGCTTGATGGGGAAAATCTGAGTGTTGACTAGGACCACACTAAATGTCTTGGAGAGTTGGATTGTTGCCCGCGGGTTGCCTGTTGCACATCCCTGCTGTAGAAGAATGTATTCTGCCGCTAGTGGACGCCATTAGTAATCCATTGAAAGGGAAATAGATTATGTCAACTTTCAATGATAAGTTTTGCTTCAGAATATCAAAGACCTGTCATTAAAGGTAGCTACTTACTTATAGATAAAAAGTTAATTTTCACTATACAATCGAAAGTTCTAAATCAAGGATGGCGAACCTTTATACCTATTGGAGAACATACATTTTTTTGGCATTTGAATAATTTAATGGCATTGCAGCTAATGTTAGATGCTAAATTGACATATTACACATAAAACAGATATGACATAACAATATAGGGAGTCACTCTCTCTCACTGAACTAGTATGGTAAGCCTAATCATATAGCATAATATACACTTTGTGAGTGCCGGTTCACCACCCTTGTTCTAAATCAACATGTTCCAAGCACAATCAATCTTTAGTAAGGGCAATCAATAAACTTGTGACTGTGTGTTGCCAGATTATATGTCATTGAAATTGAAGCAAATACGATGGATTTCAATTTCCAACGTCAAAGGTAGTGGTATCCAAATATTTCCTATAGATTTAAAATAAAAATGCACTAATATGCCAATCTTTGAAAGTTATTGGGTCCATTGCACTGCCATAATACTACATTTGGGCTGATGGCCTTAGGGCCCTTTACGCCATGCATTCTAATTTCTGTACAGATTTTGCTTTCTAAGCCTGTGCTCGTTCAAACTGTGGGCCGCGGTCCAATCGTGGGCTGCTGGGCATTTTCTAGTGGATAGGATAGGTTTTACATATTAATCCCGGGGGAGACGAAACTGATAAAATGGCCTAATCATATGGCGAACTAAGGCCTCTCGCCCGATTACCATTCCATGTCGAGTATGGGATTAACTAATTAGCCAGTTTTCAGATGCATAGACTTGGCGGTGTAGGAACCCGTAACCGACCAGTGGCAATCTTCTAACATATAATCAACCTTGCATGGGATTCGAGCATGCGAACCCACACAGGATAATCAGAGATGCAGGCGTATTCCTAACAGTTATCAGGATGAGCCACACTGCCGGGTCAATAGTGGGCCTCCAATAAATCTAAATTATGACAGTGATACACAAAAAAGTCCTTTTAATCCGACATTACCTATAAATATTTTGCCAAATGATTTTTGTTCATATATCAAACGATTATGAATACCGTATTTGCTTGTTTTGTAGCCCGGGCTCATATTTTTTTAACCAAACTCACTAACCGGGCCCTGATTCAAACCGGCCCTTATTCAAGCACGGGCGCTAGTTATTTTTAAACTAAAATTATACATAAAAATATATAAAAAAACATATATATATAGATAAGATCGATCGTTACAATAAATAATATATTGTCATTTCCAGTTCTCAAGTAGGATTTAAACGAGAATAACGAAAATTTTGACTTTTTCTACGCACCGCAGGTACAAATCTGCAAGGGATGAAAAGTTTTGGGAAGCCCTATCAATATTGAAACGACGCACTTGGGCGTCGCGACGCCCAGTTTGAAAACCACGGTGTTACCTAATCAATGCTATCTGTTATGTAATTGGATGCCTAAGGCGTGATGAAAAATCAGCTTTTACATTGGGCCGGTATATAAGCATCGGGCCTTATTTATTTTTATGTTCTGTTCACACGGGCGGCTATTCAAACGGGCCCTTAATCAAGATCGGGCGATAAAAGGAGCATATACGGTACCTTACATATACGTGCTTTTCAACTAAACAAATTGCTTTATTATGATAATAATATTGAAGCTTACCAAATTGCTATGTCCTTCAATTTTAAAGAAGTTATTAATAACTTTTATGCTTTGTGAGATTTTAGAATGTATTCGAAATTCCAGATTCGAAAATATGTTTTAGAATGTATTCAGAGTAGTGCAGTATTCGGTTATGGCCATCCCTACTTATAACCCAAATAAATTCAATAATGAGTTGTATTCGAAAATTATTCAAAAAATCTTGAGGCTGTAATAAAACACTACAGCATGACAAGATCCAACATCATAGTACTCTTTCCTAGTCATGAAAATGGACCAATGCCTCCTCCCTCTCCCTTGGTAGACTAGTGTCTCAATATTCTCGAATAAGAATTCATCTCCAAAAAACTTAATATGTCACAGCATTGCATTGCCGGACACAGTTGACCGAACAAAGCCAAGTTGAAAAACCTTTGCACACCAAAGTGTGTGTGACACCTCAACAAACCAAAATTGTACTTTGTGTGTCAAGATTGCTTACCTCATTCATGATAAAGCTGTTAGGACTTGGGAGAATAAAATGAAAACTACAACATTAGTACTCAAATACACTAAACATATTTTATGTCAGCAATAAACAAATATATTGTTTGAAATCTGAAAGTGAAAACTTACAAAAAGAAAAAATTATTCTTACTAGGGTCAACGGAAATGCCTCATCTAATAATAAAATAATATTGAAGAAAATTACAACTATGATATGAGCATTCCTCTAAAAATTATGGTTTGGGTATAAATTCAAGTGGAATCTGATATCGCTTCACAAAAAAAAACAATGGGTCCTGCACTATTTGGCCAAATTCTGACCAAATTCATAGATGGCATCCCTGACCTACATGATTCTACCAGTGTATGCACATATATATCTATCCGAACACAACGACATATACAAATTCATTCTCCCTCTCCCTTTTAGCATGAATCTAGAAATACTAATTTCTTCACCAAGCCTTAGCTGGAGTGAAATCAAGCCTAAACTTGTATTTTATGGGAACTGTGAAATTTTTCATTTGTTATCATAGAAGTAACAGCATTTAAAATCAAGTTTACTACATACACTAATGGCCACCCACATTCTCTTACTCTCTTTATTATGAAGTCTTTATATTTTTGCTCTGAACAAGACTCTAGGTACTGTATTTTTAATTTAAATAGAGCGATAGCTGTGGTGTAATATCTTACATGTAAAGACTGTCTAAAATAAAATAATACTGTAGTATCTATTTATATGATGCTTTGGTCAGAGCCAAAATAGTAAAAGTGCCTGATAATTAAA